TGAAAGCAAGCCATTACATCGTGCTTCTTCCTCATCTTCTTCACAACTTTTTCTGGGATTAATCTGAAAAAATTAACAAGAAAAACAGCTGAAGATGATCAAATGGTAAGAGAAAAGGAAGATGAAGAGATTGTATAGGAATTACCAATGAATTTATAGATGCATATATTTAATGTAAATAATTAATAGAAGTAGGAAAATGTGGAAGTGTGTTCCCAAGGAGATGACCAGCGTTTCCCGTTAATGTTGTGTTTTCGTAGGTGAATATTTTTTATATATTATAAATATGAAATTATTTAATATCTCGTTAATAGTTTGATGTGATGATAAGATAGTATGTTTATAATATATCTTAGATCAATAAATCCAGCTACATGAACTCAAATCTTCCAAGCCAATATAATAAATTTGACAAATGATATTAAAATAAACAATTAAGGTAAATTATGCATTTAATACCTAAATTATCAATTTTAGTCTGTTTTAGTATCTAAACTTTCAATTTTTTAGTTTTTGTTTCATTTTAGTACCTTTATTCAAAATTTAATGTTAAGTTTTGGAAAAAATTCAAAGTTTATGTGCTAAAACGGACCAAATTGATAGTTTATGTACTAAACGTGTTAAGTTTTTGACAATGAGGTACTAAAATGAAACGAAAACTAAACATTAATTATGATTTTGAAAAAAATGAAAGTTTAACTACTAAAACGGACCAAAATTGATAGTTCATGTACTAAATGTGTATTTTACCCATTAAATTCAACACACTCTGTAATAAAATTTAATGTTTATATAAATATAAAATAAATATGGGTAAAGTATATAAATGGTACTCCAGTTATAGGACGTTGTTTTGTTGAGTCTCTCGATTATTAAAAGTTACAAAATGATTTACTGACTATAGGTCATTACTTTGTTGAGTCCCCCGACTATTAAAAATTGTAAAATGATCACCCAATTATTCATATATTCCAAACTCATCCTTTCTGTTAAAAAAAATTAAGGACCCTCAGTGGTGGACGTTAACCTGCTGATTGAGATTTGATGAAATCTGATCCTACAATTCAAACGGTTCTAGGATCATATTTTATCATATCCTAATCAACAAATCAACATCTAGCTCAGATGATGTCATCTTTTAATGGGAAATGACGAGTTTGAAACATATGAGTAGTTTGATACATATGAGTAGTTTGATGACTATTTTGTATATTCTAATAATCAATGGACTCAACAAAGCAACACCATATAGTCGAGGAACTATTTTGTAACTTTTAATATCCAGAGGACTTAACAAAATAGTGTTCTATAGTCGAGGACCATTTATGTACTTTATCCAATAAATATTCAAGTTATGTTTTTTTTAATAAAAGGGTGAGACAAAGAAGCGAATAGGGCAGGCCACTTTTTGTTTCACACGTTGGGGTGGTTCCTCTTGTCATCCCTATGGAAACCCAATATAAAAAAAATTGCAGTCAATGGATCTTTTAAGTGTCTCTTTTAATGACTTTTAATGATGTTAAGTTTATTTTTTTCTCTATTCAATACTATTGCCTTGATTTAGGGAATAATGGCATCCTAATATACGATTAAGGAAATATAATATTAGAAATATTATTATTTTTTAAACATTTTCGGTAAAAAAATTACATAAAACATTATTATTTCTACCATAAATGTTACTATTGGGCAATTTACCGGGTTTGTTAACATATCCGGTAAAACACTACCTAAAACATTATTTTTTCTACTGAAAATATTAATATTGGACACTTTATCGGAAATGTTAATATTGGACACTTTATCGGAAATGTTAAAAAACATTAATGTTTTAGGTAAAAAAAAATAATGGTTTAGGTAATTTTTTACCATAAATGTTAAAAAATAATAACATTTCCGACAGCGCTTTTTCTTAACCGTATATTAAGGCTGTCGTACGATAGAACTTCCCCAATGTTGTTGATCGCTGGTTTTGACAAAAGCCATTATCTTTTTAACATATAATAAATGTAAATTATATTTCAAGAAATAAATTAATACTTATTTAATTTATTAAAATAAAATACTTTTAATATAGTATTTCCCCCAAAACGCTATTCTATTAACTTAATAAAATACTTTTTACCAGAAAATTTGCTCATAAAATCATCTCTTATATATATTATAATGATTAAAATGTCTAAAGTTACGAGTTTTTGTAAGTAGTTAAGGATCATTATTTTGGGTGACGTAACATATTTCATGTCATTATTTTGGTTATATAACACATGTCATGTCATTAATTATATACATGTAAAAATATCACGTTAACAACATATGTTCATATTATTTTCATAAGTAGCTGGAGATTTGTTCATAACCTTGTGCCAGATTAAGAATTTTAAACATATATGCACATATTATATGGACAATTTGGATCTATCGTGTAAAAATTGTCCATATAATGTTGCATAATGTTTATAATTTATGCACATATTCTAAATATGCTTTGCAATATATCTAAGTTGACATTTGATGCTCAAATAGTTTGCCAACCTAACAAAAAGACATGCTTGAAATGATATTTTGATAGTTTGAAGATTAATTTAAAATATTTTAAAATTTAAGGACTAATTTAAAACTTAAACTTAGCTTGAGGATGTTTGGTAGAATTGACATTAAAAATAATGGTACGAATCAAATAGATTTTATATTCATCCAATTAAAACCCTAGCAACATCCACTGGCGGATGCATGTATATTTCAGGGTGAGTACGTTCGAATTTTTTAATACTAGATGTTTATTTTATTGAAGATATTCATCTTAAAATTTTATTGTGCCTACCATGGAATTCAAATTTCTTTATATTAGTTATTCATTTTATTGAAGGTACTTACTTTGAAATTTTATTTGTGACTGCACCATACGAAATTTTTTATTATTAATACATATATGTTCACCTTAAAAAATATTTTTAAATCCGTCGTCCGCAACATCATTAGTGCTTGGGAATATACCCTTTGAAATAAGAACAGATACGAAGTCTAAGAAATCCCTAGAAAATTGGAGAGTTGTTGAAGGGAATCTTGTCATCGTCTAAGGCATAAATGACTTTTGAGAACGAATTTTAATTTAGTATTTCTTATCAATTATGGTTATTTTACTGTATAAAATTTCATTATATATTTTTTAATTATATCATCTTTAAAGTTTAAATATTTTTTTTGGGGAATATGAAATAATTTATTACTCCATCCAACCCTTATATTTTTTCTCTGCAATAATTTTTATTAGGTTTAAGGGTCTTTTTCATTCTTGTAGTATAATCAATTTATCACTTTCACTCCTATCGTATTTTCGTATCATTTTAACCCTTAAAGTTGTTTAGTTGCATCATTCTATATTCTTCTTCTAACTTAAAATCCTAAATTATAAATTTTAAGCTAGTGTTTAGGGTTTAGAGGTAATGTGATTTATAATTTAGGGATTTAAGTTAGGGATAGGGTATAAATTGATGCAATTGAGCAATTTCGAAGATTAAATTGATGAGAAAATACGATATGGATGAAAATGATAAATTAAATCTATTACATGGACAAACGTTACTCTTTTACATTTTTATTATTAATTTTTTTTAGAATAGTACAAAATCACTTCATGCCTCGTTAAAAAATCCTTTCAATTTGAAGGGAAAAAAGCACATAAAGATGATCTAACATGAAACAAAACACTCTTACAGATACTTGGATTCACAATAATCCACCCAGACTCTTAAACCCCATTCAACAACCAACATTACCCCTTTTCAGCGGCGTAAACGAAAATTTTAGGGTGAACATCATAAAATTTCAAGGTGGGCACACAAGTATTAACGAAGAAAACTTCAAGTTTTTCTAGGAAATTTCAAGGTGGGCACATAGTCACCCTAACATGAACGTACCTCCGCCACTGCTTACCCCCCACACTACAAATCATACATACGACAACTCTCCCTATCTACCACCTAGCTTTGAAGAGCGATTGACGCTGCAAACCTTCTAATGCGAAGTGATCTGCCAAAGCGTTGTTTTGTCGACATACATGGTCGAACCGAGCTTTTATTATAGAGGGAGTTAAAATATTTTTTATTTTCCATAAATACATTTTTTAAATAGGGGACCTGGTAAAATTTTCATTATTTATTTTTTTAAAATATATATTTTTTCAATATTAATTAATATTTTAAAAATAATTGGTGGGGGCTAAAGCTCTCCTTAACCCCATGATGTTCTGTCCTTGATCTTCGTGATTAACTTAAAATTAATAGATAATAAGGATAAAATTTTGCTAAGTATATGTTATTAGTTGATGATCATATCATTATCTATCTATACTAAACAAGTAAATCCTAATTAAATTATACGACTCGAATCGGTTCGAATTAATCAAGACAAAATCTTAAAAACTGGCGGGACAAAAAGAAAAGTTTCCAAGCACCAATGGCAACAACATTACTAATATTGTGCCCCAAATGCCAACAGCATTTGTAATTAGATGGCAAACAAATAAAACAATTAAAGGAGACTTGGAAGGACCTTCATATTAGATTTAAAGGTAATACACTTTCTGTTACAGACGTTAAGGCTTCATGGGATATTAGACATTCACCCATTTTATTGCTACACTTTTTTCTCTTGTATGCATGCAAGTTTTCGTATAGACTGGCTTAACCATCATATAGACTGCCGCCGTACCTACTACCACCTTAATAGCCTCCACCACCACCTTTCCCTCCTCCACCGCCACCTTTTCCTCCTCCATGTCCGCCGCCGCTACCACTTCCACCATCACCACCATGTCCCCCACTGCTACTTCCACCACCACCATATCCGCCTCCGCCACTACCACCGCTTCCTTTGCCTCCTCCGCTACTTCCACCACCACCATGTCCGCCTCCCCCACTACCACCGCTTCCTTTACCTCCTCCGCCACTTCCACCACCATCACCGCCATGTCCGCCACCGCTACCTCCTCCAGCACTTCCGCCACCACCATGTCCGCTTCCGCCACTACCACCGCTTCCTTTGCCTCCTCCGCCACTTCCTCCACTGCTACCACCTCCACCATGTCTACTGCCACCACTTCCGCCACCACCACTACCACCGCTTCTTTTGCCTCCTCCTCCACTTCCTCCACCGCCATGTCCGCCTCCAACACTACCACCGCTTCCTTTGCCTCCTCCGCCACTTCCACCACCACCACTTCCTCCACCGCTACCACCTCCACCATGTCCACCACCACCACTTCCACCGCTACCTTTGCCTCCTCCACCGCTTCCACCACCACCATGTCCGCCGCCACCGCTTCCACCACCTCCATATCCACCGCCACTACTTCCACCATGATTAGTTCCTTGGAACTTCACATCGTTCGGCTGGTCATTAAACTTGAACTCTTCAACCACAACCTCTGTCACAACAAAACCGCATTTAATCAACATCATCAGTAAAAAAAAATAACATTAATCTCATAAACAACAATGAACGATCAGATCAAAATCAATATTTCCCCCAGATATCAACATTCACTAGTCATTCAAAGTAACACCATACCAGAAAAACTGCAACACCTGCAACCACCATATCGGCTACAGCAACGGTATCTGCAATATATCTTAGCATCATCCACCTCTTTCCCTTCTTCACCTACTGCCACTGCTTCCACACACAAACAAAAAAAACCCTAGAAATTCCTCTCTAAAGATCAAAACAAAACAAAACGAAAACATTACACTAACCTTTAGTACTTCCATCTTTGGAATCTTCACCAATTGCAGGTGAAGCAAAGAAGACAAGTGCAAGCAAAACCAACAGCTTCAGCTTCATATTCCTTTTTCTCACAATTCTACAAGCTTTCGATAATGCCATGAAAATGAAGCTTTGGGATTTTATTTATAGTCAACATCACCGAACAGCGTAAATGGCTGAAGCGGTGCAGAAATAAAAGGAAAGAGGTGAATCGACGCTCTTAGGAAGCTGCCATGGAGTTGGTCGAAAGCCATGTGGAGTGTTTGAGTTCAGGTTCAGATAACTTCGAACAATCACCATAACGTTGCCAGTTTTGTTTATTCCCAAACATAAATTTTGTTGCTTTGTTTTCGGGGTCAAACTTGGCTTTCCAATATCTGATCTCATCATGTTGAAGATCAGCTCTGTATTCTCTTTCTTTGCGCCACATCGCTCACCGTTGTCGATTAGGACAGAAACCCTACGTTACTTCGTTTTTGTACGTAATCAAGGGAGAAAGACGACAATATCAAGATTTGGATGGGGATCTTCATGGCACATTTTAAACGATTTTTATGGCATTTCGTCTTTCTGATGATAGGGTGTAGGTAATATTTGGTAGCAAAATCCCAAAACTAATATTATCATAAAAATATTAATCGGGTCAGATGGAGTGTATATATTTTTTGGTCGAGTCGGGTAAAAGATATAAAATTTTCGGGTCGGATTGCCGAAACTCAACCCATACCTATCCCTAGTTGTAGTACTTGAAAAATGTTAAGAATATTTGATGTCTTCCTCGAATTACACACAGATAAAATATTAAATTTAATAAATAACAAAATAAAAAACGTCGTGTTTTCTCAACGTCTTTTTAAAACATCATATAATTCATGTCTTCCGATCACCATTATAACAATTACTTTATATCAAGGATTAATTCTCCTCACGCCCTAGAAATTTAACAACCGCAAATAGAGAGAGAGAGAAAGATTCAAAAATATTTTTAAAAATGAATATATGTATATATTGGTAAAAAACATTATATAGGATAAATACAATTAAAATTTTAAATTGGATATAATTTAAATTAAATTTGATTGGGTTGGTTCTTTATTTTGAAAATTTAAATTTGGGTTGGATCAGATTTTTTGAAGACGTGATCAGATCGAGTTCAAGTTTAAGGTGAAAAAAAATCCTATCTCATTCAAAATAATCTTATATTTATTCTTTATATATTAAAAGATAATTACATAATACATATTCCTATTTTCTTTTTTTCTAATTAGATATTTCTTTTAATGATAAAATGATGTATGTATGTATGTATGTGTGTGTGTATGTGTGTATGTGTGTATGTGTATGTGTGTATGTATACTAGGTTTGGTACATGTTTTAATTTAAAATATCGAGTTGAGTTTAGATAGAGTGTGAATCCCCTTGAATCCGAGTCAAGTCAAGTACAGATAAAGGACTTCAATTTTCTATTTGGTTTCAATTGGGTTAAAAATTCAACTCAGCTCAACTCATTGCAATCCCTAATTCTATTTAGGAGTGTAAATGAATTGAGTTTAAACAAATAAGACTATATTTATGTTCATTTGTTTGTTTTTTAAAATGTTTATGTTTGGTTCGTGTTTATTTAAATTTTTAATATCATGCTCGTGTTCGTTTATTTATATTTAAAAGTGCTCATTCATTTAATGTTCGCAAACATGTTCGTTCATATGTTAACGAACGTGTTTGTTTATATGTTCACAAATATGTTCGTTTGGCGTTTGTTTGATGTCCATTTAGCGTTTGTTTGAGTCCATTTATATGTTTAATTTTTAGTTCTACCATTCCATTTGAAAACTTATGAAAAATGGTAAAATTACACCACCGACATTTAAACTTCTTAAAATTTATAGTTTAAATTTTAATATTCACCATGTGATCAATTTAGTCTACGCTTTCACCCATATTAAAATGTAAAAAAGAAAAAAGAAAAAGGAGAATCGAATAGATGAACTTTCTAGGGCGTGAGGAGAATTAATCCTTGATATTTTTGAATCTTTCTCTCTCTCTCTCTCTCTAGGGCGTGAGGAGAAACGTTGCATATTTTCTTTTTCTTTTTTTTTACATTTTAATAAAAGATTTTGTTCATACTCATTTATTTAGTTTAAGAAACGAATATAAACAAACGTTATATGAATAGTTCACCGAATGCTCTGGTCATTTACACTCTTAAATTCGCCTAATATTTAACGATGAAATGACATATTTATAATAATATTTTAATTGAAAAATAATTTTATAATTTCTTTATTTAAGAATCAAACTCATAACCAAGTGAATTTGAGTGTATAATTTACCCAAGGGTGCCAATTCGAGAAATAAATTTTCAACAGTGCGATATTCAAATGAAAAGGCCAAATTTCAATACAATCTCCATGTCTATGTTCTATGTTCTATGTTAAAGTGCAATTATTCGACTACTGTTTTGATTCGATGGACTCCTTTGATTTATTAACATCGCAAAAAAAAAAAAGACTAAATTGATTAAATTCCTAAATATGAAAGGTTAAATTTACTGAATTCTTTTGAATTAGAAGCAAATTTTTATAAGGTACCAGTTCACATTAAAGGTTTATTTCAATTTTAACGATAGAGTGACATGTTTGTAACAATACTTTAATTGAGTGCTAAATTATAACTTAAAGAAACAATTAACCTATTTATAAAATAACTAATAATTGAATGATTTGAAATGTATTTTACCCCAAGATCTATTAAAATCTTGGGCTTTTAACTAGAAACTTTGAGTTCCAAATCAGAATTGCATTCAGTGCCAAGAAAAAGCTGCAATATTCCCTCTTTGAGTGTAAATTTCCTAGAGAACCCTTTCTACTAGTCATTGGAAGTACCTAGTTTTTCAGCAATCCCCAGCTCCTCCAATATTCCTTTATCCTCTGCCAAAACTATTTTCACACACACACATACATACATACATAAATACATACATACATAAATACATACCTATATGATTATTACATGATCTCATTTACTTAGCCTAAATAGATATCTATAAAAACACTAGAAGAATTCATTGAATGGACTCTGAGGTAAAAAGAATGTTATTTTCCTTAAAGATCTTAGATTCGAGTAATTATGTCTGTTGTCAATAAACTATAAAATTATATGAACATATAGTATCGTATAATCACCCAAATTATTAAAAAAAATACTTGGAAACATGCAAGAGTGTTGATATATTTAGTTATGTGATTATTATATGCATGATCTTATTTACTTATTCTAAACTACTTTCACACACACATACATACATATACCTATATGATTACTACATGATCTTATTTACTTAGTTTAAACATATATCCAAGAAAATCGTGAAAGAATTTATTGAGTGATCTCAATGGTGTGTATAGTTTGAGCAGTTGGTATGCATTGTCAATAAGTTTAGAAAATATCTGAGCCGATATTATCTTGTAATCCTTCTAAATTATTAAAAAAATGGAAACATGCAACATGTTTGATTAGAAAGAGAAAGAGAAGGCACAACATTCATTTTACCTGCTATACATACAGTATCTCTAGATGTTCCTATATAATTGCAACAGAGAAGAAAAACGTAGAAAAAGAAAGGTGATATCTGAACTGGGATTCTTTGGGGCTAGCCTTGTGGTTTTCGAATGTCATCGCTTGTTGTGTAATGGGTTCGAACCTGTTGGGACCGTTCGTTTTTCCTCCAGGTGCTTGGCTCGGGCTGACCATGGAACGTGGTGACCACCTGGGCTGGCTCGTCGGCTGCCTTTGGTTGTAGGGTTTCTCCGATTTGGTGATGCTTCATTAATCCTGGGAGTGGAGAGAAGGAGAATAATAACAAGGGAGCAAAGTTGAAAGCGATTCATCTTCTGTTTGAAATTTGATACTAAAAGAGAGATGATGATGGGAAGGTGGACATCACCCCCAAGAAAGCTTTTGTTCTTACATAGACAATATGGGAGTGGGTGAAGGCTTACTTTTGGTCCATTTGTTCCATATAGTGAAACATGGGTTCGTAATCATTAAAACTTGAGTCTCATTAATAACCTTATATGATGGGGTGATAGGTGATTATTACATTTAAGTTGTTTTTAATTTAGGGTAAAGTATACAAATGGTCCCTTGACTATAGGGTGATGCTTTGTTGAGTCCCCAGACTATTAAAAGTTACAAAATGATCCTCCGATTATAGAGTGTTGCTTTGTTGAGTATCTCGACTATTAAAAGTTACAAAATGACATCTGAGTATTCATTATGTTCCAAACTCGTCCTTTTCCGTTAAAAATTTGACGATAGTCTGAGCTGAACATTAACCTGTTGACTGTGATATGATAAAACTCAATCCAAGAATCTCAAACGACTATTATATCCCAGTCATTATGTTAACATCCATCTCAGACAAAGGTTAATTTTTTAACAGAAAAGGACGAGTTTGGAACATAATTAATAGTTGGGTGACCATTTTGTAACTTTTAATAGTCGATGGACTTAATAAAGTAGTACCATATAGTAGGGGGACCATTTATGTCCTTTATTCTTTAATTTAAATATTATTTGGGTCTATCAAGTGATCTTAGTGATAAAAAAGGAGTGTTGTTCTTCCTAGAGGTTCTGAGTTCGAGCAACTGTGTCTATAGGGTATGTGTGCATATGTCTGTAAACAAACCGAGCACTCAAACGAATGTTCGTTTATGTTCGTTTAAGTTTATTCACATATGTATTTCCCATCCAACAACTAACTGTACCTTTCATTAATTTCACGATAGATTGAGAAAAATAACCCTAAATTTTTTAAATTTATGTTCATTTATGTT